AGTGCCCTCTGGACCTAGGCGGATAAGTATCATCCCTATTGAAAAGAAGGGGAGAATTAAGCAGAGAGAGTTTGTGACTTTCATTTGAGGTTGACGAGTACCAAGGAGTCCCAGTTCCAAGCCTCTTGTTCTAATCCGAAGGTGACCCTCCATCCCATGAAGGTCACGGACCTTGGCAAGATGTCCTTGATGGGCCATCTGGTTGGGTGTCATCCAAGCTGTTCTCTGTTCTTTCTCACCCTATCCCACGGCTTCTGTTTAGATCTGGATGACGCATTCCCTAGTGCCTTCTAAATGCAACCTGTGTTGTTCTGGCCCTTGATTCTTTTCTGTGCAAGTGCTAACTCTTTCCCCATGGATAGAATGATGTTTACAAAGTATCTCATGAGTTTCACACATCTTCTTCTATCAAAGCCAGCAGGGCCATGGCCAGAACCTTCTGAAATTAGTCATTAATTACTGCTGGATGAACCTCAGTTCATTTTGGATGATCTGCAATGGTTTGGATACTTATAGGAACGTCTCAGTTTAGAGACCAGGGTGGACATTTTAGCAGATGAGCTTTTCTTGTAAGATATTTAGCATCTTAGACTCTATCTCTGGGTAGAGATACGGCATGAATCTTTCACTTGTAGTGTAATAGGACCTTCTGGATGCTAAATATTGTAGCTCATTTTTGTCCATTTTGCAAGCTGCAGTGATACCCTGCCCCTGCTCAGTCTGGGAGTGCATTTTTTTTTTTTCTCCTTTGATTCCAGGAACTCCTTGCCTGATCAGAGAAGATGATTAAAAGAGTGAAAAACCAATACTTAGATCTTCACAAACAAATGAAAAATGTTTGTGTAAAGTCCAGGGGGAAGGAGGGAATACCATTCATCTTCCTAGACCTTCCCATGTGGGTGAACTTCAGAGGTGAGGGCTGCTCAGTAAGGAGCTAGCTGTGCACTGCCTTGAAACCTGAGAAGCTATTAAATGTGGCCCAATGTCAGACTCATTGGGTGAGCCCTGCCCTGGGGATATATCTCCACTTTTAGGTTACTCAAATGGTCCTCTTAAGTCCTCTAGTCTGGGGAGAGAGACAAGCATGGAAGAAAAGGAGGTGGGATAGCAAGGAGCGAGGGCTGTCTTTTCAGACAGGTAGCAGTGATCTGCTTTCTATGGTAACTTCTGTCTGACGTTATTTGTGTTAACATAAATACACCTGCCTCACAACAGTGTGTGTGCACCTTGCCACTGGTTAGGCAAGGCACATGCACACAGAGAGGGAGAGTTCCTGCCTCAGAAAACATTACATTTTTAAGCAGACAAGGGGAATGTCATAATCTATATCTACATATAGCCAGTAAGACTGTGTCCAAATGAGCATGGCTGTGCAGTATGTGGTGCCGCAGACACATCTGCAATGCCACATGCCACACATTCAGCTGTTCTCTGAGCTGCAAGGGCGCAGCACAAGAGGTGTGGCTCTTGGGGTCAAAAAACCCATGGGGGGAGGGGGGAAGAGGGGCGCACATGGGGGCAGCACATGCAAATCAGAAATGGAGACTGGCTGGCCACAGCCACACTCCAGCTGCTGGCTAGGCTCTGAGCAGCAGGATTACCACTGCTACAGCCCCATGAGGCCCCCAGGCAAGGCTGCTGGGGCCAGCCCAATGCTGGCCCAGCCTCCCCTACCCCACCCAGAGTACCCTGCTGCATATAAGAGGGTGTGTAGCACAGGTGTTTCTGGGTGACCACTAGCAGCGGCCCAAGGTGTCCTGCTGCTAGTTGTCCCCAGGGAACCAAATGTTCACCCTTGTGTGGATGTGGCCCAAGGGCCCAATCCAGCTCCCCCTGACTTTGGTAAAACTTCCACAGGCTTTAATTATGCAGGATCAGACCTTAATGACATCATGCCACACTCTCCAGTACAGGCATATGTCTTTATTGTAATGTCTCAGATGGGGAAACTGAGGCACTCTTTTAAGAAGCCTCAAGTTGGGCACCAGAAATTACCAGCTGCTTTATGGCAGTTGCCCCATGCTCTCTCAGGCACTGGGAGGTGAAAGACTAAACTATTCAAACTCAGTTACCAGAATTTACGTTTGGAGATGGAGATAATGCACCCAGCTTTCAGCAGAGGCATTGAGCACCTGCTGCTCCTACTGTCTTCAGTAGGGGTTTTGGATGCTAAGTACTTCCGAATTAGCAGCTATGCTCCTTATACACCCAGCCCATCTCTAGCATTTAGTTTGTGGAGCAGGGATTCACTGTTTGCTCAGGTTGCTTGGAGCTGCTAGAAGATGATCACCAATATTATTTAGGGAACCTAAATTTGAAGATCTCCGATTGATCTTCTTCAGTGGGAGAAGAACCCAGGCGTCCTGACTCTCCGACCACTGCTTGGAATCCTGTTCTTGTTCCACTGGGTAAATTTTCTCTCCCTTGCAACTGAGCATCCTCTGTGGCCTGTGCTGTGTGGGAGACTACAACATCCCTGCACATGTCTTGGTTCAAAGGTAGTCCAGGCCTGGGAGGGTTTGCCCTGAAACTGTTATTAATTCTGCTGAGGGAGTAAAATCTGTATGCCAGCCTCTCTTGACCAGCAGCACCATCTCAGTCCTAGCTCCTTACAGCTGCCCTCTTAAGACAGGTGTGGCAAAAGTACTGCCTGGGCTTCTTGCTCCAGCAGCTGACACAGTGGTCCTCCTCAGTGGGGTCTGTTTGCTCACTTAGGACAAGAGGTAAAGGAAGAGTCAGAAACATGAGACTTAAAACTACAAGCCTGGGAAAGCTGGAGTGAGTTACAACCAGAAGCAATTAGTTACCTTCAGGACTTCCAGCTGGGAGATAAAACTTCCCTCTCCGATGTGAACTGCAAGTCTTCAGACTGTCATGCACACATCATTTCAGAGGCTAGAGATTTCCCTGGCTGCTGAGAGAGCCAAGGACATTTTGGCAGCGCCTCATCAGGGTGGGAAAGGCATCCTCTGTGGCAGGCTTTTCTGGGCTTGAAAGGAAAGCCACCTTGTTTCACTCCTCAGCGCTGCGGATGAGTGCTTGCCCAATTCTGCAGTCATTTCCCGAGTTCTATCTTGGGTGCGTCTCCCATCTCTGTCTCACAGAAGAGTGATAATCAGGGATTCAACTCCGGTCTCTGGACTACCAGGCTATTGCCTTTACCACTAAACCTGTACCTGAGCCAGCAGAAACCAGTTACAGCTTTCATCTCCAGTGCAGTGCCCCCTCCCACTCCCACAGCACTCTCTTGGGAAGGTCTTACTCTGGTGTAGCCCAGAGAAACAGCGCAGTCTGCTGCGTAGCACATAGGTCTGGGGCCAGGATACCTACCTTCTGTTTCCAATGCCATCATTTCCTCAGGGGCTACTAACACCAACTTTTGTAAAGCACTTTGAACAAGCAGCAGTGCAAAGCATTATGACTGCAGTTCAACCCACTGCTTAACGAGGCAGTGCTTCCCGGCAGTCTTCCTACAGTGCCGCCTTCTCCTTCAGAGCATGAATCACTTCATTCACAGGCTGCTGTGTGTTATCTGTGCCTGGGGAGCTCAGATAAACCACAATGGTTTGCAGTGGCTGAGAGCTGCAAAGACCTTGTTGAGAGTAGGTGAAGTTAAGCAAATGTTAATAGAAATTAGAGCCTGGTTTATATCTGCAAGTGAGGGAGGTTGGTTTTGTGGTTCAAATGCTAAGTTCAAGTGCTTGGCTCTGGGACAGACTGTCTGGGTGACCCTGGACAAGTGACTTTATGCCTCTGGTCAAGATTATTAGGGTCACTGAACCTCTCAGCTGGCAGGTAGCTTATAAAACATACCTGAAAGGGGCCTGGTTTTCAGAGGCAGTGGCTGATGCTCTTTGAAAAGCAGTGCATTTTTAAAAAGCATGAAGTTGGGCACCAGAAGTTACCAGCTTCTTCCTGGCAGTCTCCCCATTCTCTCGCTCAGATGTTGTCTCTTGACTGTTTAGATGAGGTTCTTATACAGGAATCATGTCTGCTTCTGTGCAGCCCCTAGCACAATGGGGTATAGAATATTTGGAAGATATTTTGCCTATTTGGTTACAGTAAGCCCACAGCACTAGAGAATATCCTGATAGGGGTTCTGTTTTCAGAACCTGGAAATAGTAATTGGATGCTATAACATGAGGTTTCTTATGACTTTCTAGGTGCATTGGAAATAAATATATTAAGAAGAGGCCTGCCAGCAGTTGCTCAGTGTTTTTGGTCCAATCCAGACAGTCAGGGGCAACTAGGAAGCCAGAAAAAGGGGAATGCAATAATTTTAAGCCATTTGAAGGTCAAAATCAGTGTCAGCGATTTGGTGAAGGTTAGATCAGTTCAAACTTTTTTGTCTCGTCCCAGTGCTGGTACCGGCTTGAATCCAAAGCATGCTGAAATGATAGGAGCCTTTCAGTTGACTTCAGCTGACTTTGGATCTGACCCATAAACCTCTCAAAGCCAGCCAGAAGTGAAAACTGACCAGTTTCTTGAGCCTCATTCCAGTGCAGCAAATCTTTCCATTGACTTCAGTGAGCATTAAATCAGGCTTACTGTCTTTCTGAACTGAAAGGAGCTGGATTGAATCCTTTGGTGCTCAGGCTGTGCTCCTCCTGGCTGGACAGGGGAAGCAGGAGTGACTGTCACTGAAAATGCAGGAAGATGCTATATATAAGGTGCCCTCGGTGCCAGGGTTAATTCCAAACGTGCCATTTCAGTACATAGCACAGTCCAAGGTTGTGTGTATTTTAGGTCTGGCTCCTGCTGGAGAGGCTTCCTGGATCCCGCATTGTATAAACAGAGATGTGAAATTCCCTCCTGGTTCTTCCTTTTTGGGGATTCTTTCATGCAAAAACAAATTCTTTCTTGCCTGTGTGTGGCAAGGCATCCGAGTTGTTTCTTGAGGGCTCAGTCCTTCCTCTGGGGGATGGTTCAGGACCTGCAGATTCAGTGCTCAAGCTGCACCACTAATACATAGTTTTGTCCTCTGTCCATGTCCCCTGCAGGATTTGTGCGGTGCCACCACCTGTGACACACTGGGCATGGCTGATGTTGGCACTATGTGCGACCCCAAGCGCAGCTGCTCTGTTATTGAGGACGACGGGCTCCCTTCTGCCTTCACCACGGCACATGAACTGGGTAAGGGGCTGGGGGGAAGCAGGAGGCTGGGAATGCCAGTCCCTGTTTGTGCTCCTCCAGGGCATCTTATTCATGCACTGTGCAGCTGAGGTCCCTCTACCCCCCACGTGCTCTGCCATTCAGCTGTGGTTGGATCTTGATCTCAAAGTGTTTTTTGCACGGAGGGATAACTTGAGCATGTCAGTACTCCTCATGCCTCAGTGTCATGTAGAACATCTGTGGCCAAGCCAGGAATTGAACCCAGGAGTCCTTACCCCCTGCCTGGGGCCCTATCCACTGCACTGGACTGGTCCTCTCCTGATGCCAGAGCTGCCTGTACCTTTTGTGAAGCCACGTGGTTCACTGACACTCTTCCTTGTGCTGTGTGCTATGGGGCATGACTCCACCATGGCGGTAGGGAGCTCTGTGATGTGACCCAAGAAATAAGCCCCAAGCTTGAGTATCAGGTGAGGGGAATGCTCCTGAATGTGCTAGAAACCAGGGTTAGAGTATGTGGTCTCCTTGGGGTGTCCTCACTTCCTCAATTGGAGGGTGAATGTATGGGGCACAGGAGGAGGTGGGTAAGGCTTGATCCATCGGTGGTATATGGAGCCTTGGACCACAGCGGTGTGGAGGACCAGGGTTGTGCTCATGTGATCTGCATAGGTATCTAGTATCTTGGGCAACCATTCATTCCCTGTGCCTGCTTGCCAACACCTGCCAGACCATTCTCAGGTTTAATAGTGAGAGCCTCTGTCAGGTTTAATAGTGAGACCATTCTCAGGTTTAGTGAGACCATTCTCAGGTTTAATAGTTGTAGAGCCCAGGACTGTGTCTGCCACCTGGGGAGGAAAAAAACATGCCTCCCAAATCTGCTAATGTTTATTGCTCCATCATTAGGAGAGCAGGGAAAGGGAGGGAAGCCTGCAATGTTTAAAATAACCCTGAATTCCAACCCCAGGAAGTTTAGACAATAGCCAAGCTTCCAGAACAGCTTTCTGGGGAAACTCCACCTCGGGGTGAGACAGCAAGACTCACCAGCTTTCTTCCCGGCACTCCTGGGAGGTTGGAGGCAAACCACTGGAAAAAAGCTGCTGGGAAGTGAGAGTGGCTGGTGTGGGCGGCTGAGCCATCCCAGCTATATTGTGTCCTTGATGCCGCTTTGGTTTATTTTCCAGGATTGAGGAGACCTGAAATAACACGCTGGGATCCGTTAGGCACACCCTTAGATCCGGAGTCACGTACTCCCTCAGGGGCTTAGCTGTGAAATCTGCTTTTCTGTTGCAATTTCCTTGCTTTCTCTTTCTCCGGTTCAATTTTGATTTTTCTCATTCCTTCAAAATAAGCCAACGTCCATACACGAAGCAGATGGTGTGAGTTTTGGCTAGAAAAGTGCTGGCTTGGGGACCTCACTGGCAGGATTACTTACATGTATTATGACTTGTCTGTCTTATGGGCAATCTGATTGAAACACAAGGAGTGGAGCTGGCAAAGCTGTCCAAAGTGGGGGCGGGGGGAGGCCTGTTTTGCCGGCATTTTAGAGCTGTAGGCCCACAGACAATAAATGTTTCTTCTGGGTTGCAGAGAATGGCCAAGAGCTGGGGTGCAGAGTA